AGGCCAGAGCTGCCTTTGCATACCTTAATATTAACAATAGATGGGGCAGAATATTACACTATTTTACACTGTAATAAGCGGATATTATATAAAAATGCGTTTAGAAATTTTATCCCACTTGTCTTAATTCAAATCTGTATAGCACATTTGCACGATGACGTCACGCGCGCAAAGCATGCCGGTTGTAGAGGTCAAGATTCGCGGGAAATTACAAAGAAAACAAAACAAAATGGAACAGGGTATTGTCAAAGAGGATAAAAAGGCGTATAATTTTCAGTCTTCTCGCGTATTTTTTGCGGAAACCGATATTCCAGGAGCTGCTTTAAGTGGAAGAAAGCCAGAAGAACTAAAAGTAGAAGAACTTAAGCGATGGCTAAAGTGCAGAGAAGCAATGACATCCAGAAATCGTCTTCAACTTATACAAAGGTGACAAGACATCTGTTTTCATAGAATTATTGAAGCCGATCCTTATCTTTCTTCTAATTCTTCTTATTTAGAGTGAAAGACTATATATCTAGTGGCCTCGACAAGAAGGTTTCTAACCCTGACGGTAAAATATTGGAAAAGAAAGCAGATGTTGGTTCGAATAGAAAAATCGATGAATGGCCAAAAGAGGGCTGGACATTGAATCTCGAGAATATCCCACCTTTCAAGCATTGTTACATTTTTGCCTATTTATCTGGTGGACGAAATGAAGAAGAAAAGAGACGTGGAGCATTTAAGTGTAAACGGGAAGGGTATGCTTTGTTTAAGGCCTCTCACGTAATTAATGTTCAATTCAACAGTTCACACGACCTTTACTGCTTCTTGGAGGCAAAAGTAAAAGCTTCCATGACGAAAAAAAATAAATATACAGGACAAAGGTACGTCAAAATAAGAGAGGAGAAGTAGTTTCTGCATTTTGTAACTGCAAAGCAGGAGTTAATGGATACTGTAAACACGTAGGTGCCTTATTATATACTATACTTGATTTTTGTGAGAGTGAGCTCAAGCAAATTCCTCCTAATGTAGCTTGTACAAATAAACCTCAACAGTGGCATATACCAAGTAAGCAGCTTTCTGATGATGGCCCAGTGCTCTTTAACGATATTCTTATGATCAAACATGATTATGAACGAGATAAAAAGCTAAAAACAGAGAAGAGAATCAATAGGAAACTTGAAAAAGAGATCATTCTCATCTTGTCCATCATTTTCACTACAGGTAACTTGAAGAACAAATAAAAGGACTTTGTGATGACTTGAAAAATGTACCACTGCTGAAGTCATCTCAAAAACCAGCTGTTCTTATAGACTTATTACAAGGTAATAATCACAAGCCTGTTGAGGCTAAAGAAATAAAGGAGAAATGGTTAAAACACACTATTAAAGTTGATCATGATTATCACTTACCTGCAAAGTGTTTGAGAACTGACACAGAAAAATCTGATACGAGTGCAACCAATGATTGCATGACATCAGACTTACAGAGCCTAGGACACAACTATGAGCCTATGAACACAAATTATACCTCTCACTATGTTATTTCACATTGCAAGAAAATGCAACTGATAATGAAAGCAGCTTCATTCCAGAAAACAGGGTTGAAGATCCAAGGTTTGAAGATGATGAAGATATCAACCTTCAAAATGTCCCTATTATACCAGACCCCTCAGAACAATTCCCAGATGTCCTTGATTTGACAAATGATAGCTTTAAAGAAGTCTGTAGGGAATATATAA